AGGCCAACAATCATATTCCACGGCTGAAACCCACCCTCAAAACCACACATGCACACTTTTACCGTTGTTAGCAGAGTCCTTGACAGACGAGTTCTTGTCTGTCCCTGCTGTCCAGTTGGCCAGTCTGTCCTTGCCCAGGTTGAGGAGGGACATGGGTTTGAAATCCAGCTTGCCATCTGGGTGGGGTTTGGAGGACATAGGCATGCCGTACAGGAAGTTTGACAGAACAGAGTTGCTAGAAGTGGCGAGGCTTGATGGCGTGACTACCTGGGGAGTAGTCTTCCCTGGGCCGTGGCTGCTCTGTGTCATGACGGCGGTGGAAGAGTTGTGATTTACATCAGTGCTGGATTTGGCTTCTCGAGACAAATCTTCTGCTGGCCTGAGCAGAAAGACGAAATCCAAATCAAGAAACAAAAGCACTGGCTGGAAGTTTGACAGAATCTTAAATGGGGTCAGAACAGAAAGCGGCCCACTGACATCGGCACAGCTATAGTAAAACATGCAATTAAAGAAAAGAAAGTATTTAGAGCTTGACGGGACCCTTTGTCCCATCTTGATCCATTCTTAATCAAACACACTTCACAGATTCACCTTTTTACTGTGAAATGGATGCGGTGGCTCTGCTCCAAAATCTTCATTAGTGTCTTGGTGTCATACTCGGAGGGCTTCTTCAGGGTGACTCCCTCAGGTAAACCATGGGCCACCACACAGCTGGGGTCCTTCTGGATCCATTCATAAGGCACAGGGACCAGGATACTCTTTCCTTTTTTTTGCACAAGACAGGGTGAGTACTTTGGACTATGCCTTGTAAAAATATTATTTGGAAAAAAGGCAGCCCAAGACCTAAAACCGACTGCTTCTGCTCCTGAGTCATGAGTAGGTAAACATAATGAGAGTAACAATTATCATGCAGAAGTGACTAGAGAGGAAAACACATTGCAGTCAGTGACTCCTTACTGTAAAGCACAGTGAAGACCTCCTCCACCATCTTCCTCAGAACAAAGATGTTGGACTGAGCGTCTGATGGAGCTCTTGGTTTCCCATGTTCACCATCCTTACTCAGTTTGCTGAGATCACCTTCCTGGTCTTTGGTATGGGCATCTGCTGTGGTCAGATTTTGCAAACATGGGACCCCTAAAGCCAAATGACAAACATCACACTAAAAATTCTGTAACAATAATACATCAGATGCTTGTGGGTCCAAATGTTCCCCTTACTACTTTTCCCCCCCTCATGGAGTCAGTACCTTGCTTGAGAGACCTGTTCCTAAACGTAATGCATATGTCACATTTTGACAAATAATACCATGTGAAATGAATGATTTGTTTGTTTAGGAATGTGTCTGGTTAAAAGAATCATCAACAAATGGTGATTAAGTGAAGCCACTTAGTTAATCTCCTCCTTGTTTGTTGTAGTTGAAGGCCAGCTACCTGAAATCACAATGACTTATTTCGTTTCTATTTTTCTCCTAAACAAAGCAAAGAGGAGCTGCTGCTCCTGTAGCAGGCTAGAAAACTTAACTTCACCTTGGATGCACAGCCTGAGAAAATTAAACAGTGTAATGGGAGGTCACAACTCCTTAAATTGGCGTCATCAGGAGGGAAACACTGTGGAGTCTGAGAACATTATTTGCCGATTTACTTTATTGCTTGATATCAACAGGTGGGGCTGAATGTCCCAACAGTGATCGCTAACTCAGCTTTCAACTTTGCATACTAGTTTGTTTATCTGAAACGAGGTCAGAACGAAAGAGCTTAACAGTTTGGTTAAGACGTGTCCTGGAATATAACCTCATAAGGCAGAGAAGCATTCAACCGCCTCACGAGACTTACTTCGCGAGAAAAACTTCAGCTCGCCCTTACATTCAAAATGTGTAAGAAATGAGAAATGGGGTCAGAACGGTTATGAAAATAACAGTATACTCCACAGAGTGCCGTAGTAGTGAGTCCTAAACCCGGAACTGAGTTAGCATTTTTGCTAAAGGTGATTGCCAGCAAGTGGTTAAATGGGACTACAGAGGCTGTCTGGGATATTAAACATCTTCACACCAAACATCGAGACCCATCCACTCACTAGTCCGCCTTATGCTTAAACTCATACACTTGCAAACTATTCTGACACAGCCAAAATCACTAACTAGATCAGGTCACGCTAAGAGGAAAGGATTCTGCAGAAGAGGTAAGCACATTCAATCAGATTACAAGTTGGAAGTCATGGAACAGTGGTGTCATTTGTTTATGGCCTAACAATAGCCTTTTACTTCTGGTGATTGTATTTGGGCTTCAAACATAATAACAGTGGTGTTCACTTGTGAAGTTTAGAAGTTTAGCTTGCTGAACAAAACACATCATAAACTACTGTTTGTCACTGAGCTTAGTTTCTGCAATAATATAAAAATCTATGGAAACATAAAATTGGCTTTTTGTTGAGGGAACCAGAGCAGTGCTAACTTACGGATTAGCCTACAAAAAAACATCATCCCTATGGCACTTTATTAGTCAAGGGATGGCCTTGACATATGAATCTAACTTTAACCCCAATCATTCTCTACTGTCTGACATGCTTACTGTTTCAAAAGTACCAGGAATCGTAAGAAGTGATCTGGCTGTAACTTTGCAAATGTTACACATCACGTGGTTTTTCTAAATGAGATGCGACAGGACTGCTTTGTTGATTCAATTATTTTACACTAAAGTAATCTGGTAAACAAAACTGAAAGCTGTGGTTGTTGAAGCTTTTAGCTGAATTAGCATTTGTGTGATGACAACAGTGCAAAAGCCCTGCCAGACACAAGTGTATTTAATGTAACTGCCCCAACTGCTGCAGCTATAATGAGAGTGATAAATGCGCCATCAAGAATGACTAATGGAAAACAACATTCACGGTTATGCAGGTGAGCTTACGGCAAAACTTGTAGAAGTCTGTTTGGATTTCCCTCCTGGAGTTGAGGAACACTCTGCCCTTTTCTGTGCCCACAGCAATCACGCTGTCCTCGTGTACAGTGACACAAGCCACCTCAGCGTTGAGCTTAGACATGGCCATGCACTGTATAACAAGAATATAACCATCACTGTAAACTCTAAGGAAGACATCTGCAGCATGTGCGTTCACTAAGAAAACTGATATTACACTAGAGCAGCTCCAGGCATATAAAACAAGACACTGGATTCCACACTCAGAAACTATCACACTGTTACTGACAGGATATCCAAAATATAATGACACTGCATGAGGCTCGCTTTGGGACGTACCACTGAGTCCAGGGCAGACACTAGGCTGGTGAGGATCTCCTGTCTGGCTGACACCAGCGGGACCTGGGGCTCGCCTCGGGAGTTTGTCCTGATGCCATCACACGCCAGCTTCCTCATCTGAGCCATGCCTCTGCAGGGACCAGATGAACATGGTTGAGGCAGGCAGCCACAGTGCAACGTACACAAAACCTGTATATGTTTGAGCATGCATTTATGCACACATGCAGCAGGGACCTGCATTCAAAACAGTGTCTTCTGACATCATTTGGTTTGGCTTTAAGCAAATACTGTAGAAGCTTGCATTCTGAACATCAGTCTTATACTGGAGGCTGGCAGATGAATGAAGTAGGAAAAGGTCAAGCTTTAAGAATGTTTTCCAGTGCCTTTAGAAAAAAATACATCAGCTTTCAGGAGTTCAGGAGAAACATGCTTTCTGTCTGTGTTTGAACTTCTTAGAAGAACAAACCTGTTTTACAATAATTATTAAGATTAACTAACCAGCTTGTGCAGATATCAGGATGTCAACACAAACATTGCAGATGTATTAGTGAACAAACTTTCAGTTCCTGTCCCATCTGTGCTCAAATTGATCATTAAAGTGGATGCCTGTATGTAGCTGAAGTATCTGCTACTGACAGGCCATGCATAACTGTATGGAAAAACTAATTATGCCTAATTATGCCCTTACTCAACTGTTTTGCACATGTCGCCATACAAAAATAGTGATGCATCATGTTTTAGTCATTTTGTACTTGCCAAAGAGAATAAGTCCTTTGGCAATAGTTTTGTAACAGGAAAATGTGTTTACACTTTATCCCATAATGTACACAATTACATTTTGTGAACTGAATCGGGATGTGTGCTATTGTCCAGCCCTACCTGAATACTACAGTAGCTTTTGCTAATTAGTACTAAACACACAATACCTAGGCTGAGAATTATTATTAGTTTTGCAGGTATTTCTCATAGACAAATCAAATTTAACCTGATGATGGCATTGGAGGGAAGAAGAAGGTAATTAGGGGGATAATTAGAGCAGTCAGATGATTTCACATGAGCCCATTTACACTTGATTTTCTCTCCTTGATGGTGCAGGAAGAAGAAATACTGATGGCCAACATAAGTCCTTAACTTTCCACAGCCACTGCTGCACCGCAAACATGGTGCAACAGAATATAACATGTCAATAGAAACTTCCTATGCAAACCTGAGCTCCAAATGACAGGACAGATAATGTTAATAAAAGTAAATAGGCAAACAAATAGGGAGTGTTAAAGAAAAACCGTTCGGCTAAAGCCAGGCACTATGTTCTCATGGCAACTGAAACCGGTCTCCTTGGAAACTAATCTCGGGGCATTCGAACAATGCAGGCCTGGCCTTTAATCTCTCCAGACACTGGGAACCATTATACTAGCCTCTGGCAAGCTCAAACCACTGCCTCAATAGAGAGAGGACAGAGAGGTAGAGAGAGATAGACAGAAGCAGAGGCGAAGAGGAGGGTGGGTGTGGTGGGGTTCAGCTGCACCAGTCTGAGCGTGCCAAGTCTACTGGCCATCTAAATCTGCCTCCCCTGAGGCCACAGCAAACATTAGCCCCTCCTAAATTATTACGGCCTGGAAATAGATGGCCTCTTTCC